AATTGGCAAAAGCCAATCGAGCCTTTTGTATCCGTGCAGAAATCTCATCGGCAACTAACCCACCGGGTTGATCCTACTTCCCAGGTAAGTGAAGTGGTCAACACACTCAACCACTTCACTCTCTATTGTTAACCGCGGTACCGCTGAAGACCAGTCCTGGAGCAAAAATTTGCATTTGGGTGGTGAAAATCGCATCCCAAACATTCTCAAATTCCCACTCAAAGTGTTCAGAAGACTCTGCATCTTGTCAGCGTCTTCACCTAACAGGACTATGTCATCTGCATATTCTAGATCTAAGGAAAATTCACCTGTGATCGGTCAACGTCTTTGTAATTAGGTGACGAGAGGGAAACCTCCATAAGAATATCTATGATAAAATTAAATAAGAATGGGGATAGTGGGCATCCTTGACGGACACCACTTGATGAGTATAGCTCCCTGGACAACTCACCATAGGCTCTAACATGCCCACAAGTGTTCGAGTAGAGAGCTTTCAATAAGGTGATGTACTTACTAGGCACGCCTTTCAGTGACAGACACTGCCATAAGACTTCTCGATCAACGGAGTCAAATGCCGCCTTCAGGTCGAGAAATACAGCTATTGTCGGGCGTCTGTAAGCATGCCTATGTTCCAGGACCTGGCGCAGTGTGAATATTTGGTCGATACATCCACGGCCAGGTCTAAAGCCTGCCTGGTTTTCTCGGGCTTGCTGTTCCCGAGCTCCACTCAGGCGTCGGAGAATTATAGAACTTAGGATCTTAGACACTATGTTTGTCAGGCTGATTCCTCTGTGGTTATCACAAGAGGACTTCTCGCCTTTCTTGAAGACTGGGATGATCAGTGACTTAGACCAGTCGGAGGGGATCGTATTTGATTCCCATATACTGGCTAACACTTCCGTTAGCCTGACTAAGAGAACTCTACCACCATTCTTGTATACCTCAGCAGGTAGTCCGTCTGGTCCTGCTGCCCTTCCCGTTTCAGGCTACCTACCGCTTTCTCAACTTCTTCTAGTGTTGGGGGACCTGTCTCTATGTCCCATTCAGGGTCCGACTGGATAGCGGGCAGCGCAATGGTGGCTGGAGGCCAGTTAAACTGTTCCTCAAAGTGTTCTGCCCATCGTCCCAGTCGCCTTCCCTGCGAGTGAATCGCCGATCCGTCCTTCTCCGCTATAACCTCACTAACTGTTGTTGACCATTTCCCCCCAGTCTCCTTAATAAGTCTAAATAACTGTCTACTGTTACCGATCGCCGCTGCCTTTTCCATCTCTTTAGCCTTTGCTGCCCACCACTGTTCACGATCGTTGCGCAGACTTTTCGTCAGTTTATTTTTAAGTTGCGCTCGCTCTTCATTGTACTCAGAGCCTGCAGGGATGCATTCACGTGCATCCATTAGTTTGGAAGAAGCTGCTGATATCCACTGGCTCTTTTTAGCCATTATCTTGGAGTCGTGCTGCTTTTACAGTAGACTGAAGATGGCACCAAGCTTCTTCTGGATGAGTGACAGTCTTTTGTTCCGATAACTGCCTAGCCAACTTCTCACTGAACACGGCTTTGGTGTTTTCGTTGTCCAGCAGAACTCGTAGTGGTTTTGTTGCCAAATTTTTTCTACGTCCATTGAGACGCAGGCATATACGTGCTCGGACCAACGCATGATCGCTGTCCAAACACGTACTCCAGAAGGAGCGGCAGTCTTCCACCGATCCTCTCCAGCGATGACTAATAGCAATGTGGTCTATCTGTGTCCATCGCTGAGTCGAGCTCGGTGGACGCCAGGTCAGACAGTGCCTTTCTTTATGTCTGAAATTTGTGCTGGCTAAAAATAGGCGGTTATCTGAGCATAGTTGTAATAGGCGATCACCGTTATCTGTACGTTCAGCTGGGATTCCGAAAGTGCCACCTAAGTGCCTTTCTGCCTCACTCAGTCTACCCACCTGTGCGTTGAGGTCACCTGCAACAACCACTACGTCCGAACGTTTGGCTTTCGAGAGGAGGTTAGACAGTTTATGGTAGAACTCGTCCTTCACTTCATCCGAACTACAGTCAGTGGGTGCGTAAGCAGAGATTACAAAGAGACAACGGCGAGTCTCACTATTCCTTTTAGTTCTCACTGTGCCGTTCAGCCTCATAGCGCAGAGGCGACTATCAACTGGGATCCAGTCTAGTAGTGAGTTTTCTGCCCTGGTGCTTAATGCTATACCTACACCTGCAAGACCACGAGAGCTAGCTATCGAATCTCCAGAAACTCGAAGGGTGAATTCACCAGATTGGTCAGGAGAGGTCAGGTGAATAACCACACTTGGGTCCTGTATGCGTGTCTCACAAACACAGCACACATCCATGCCCGAGTTGCTAGAGTCTTTGCCAACGAAGCCTGTTGGCCAATTTGACGGAGGGTGCGGACATTGAAGGCTCCAATATGTAATTTGGAGCGTGGTTTAAGGAGACCAGGGATGCTGTTCTGTGGACTCAGATCGTTGTCGAAGGCTGCAGAGGTAGGAGAAATTGAAGATGATGCAGCATCATTAATTAAGAGACGTGAAGGAAGATTAGAAGGTAATGATGGAGGAGGAGGATAGCAGTCAGAAGAAACTTGGGTGCTGACAGAGTTGTGAGGGCGGTTGACACTTCCCGGCTGCCCACACCGTGGAAGGCTATTTCTTCTTAAGGTACCTGAAAGAGATTTGTGTGACCGCAGAGCCCATCGGACATCTGCTTGAGGCCTGTCACACCCAGCCTTTTGAGTATGATTATTTTGAATTTTTGTATTTTTGGGGCCGGATGATCGAAAGGAAACGACAAGTGAACCAACACCGCCGGCCCGGCAGACCGTGGGGCGTGGTGGAGTGTGTTATTTTTGGGGCCGACCTTTTCTAACCCCCCCTTCCACTGAGAAGGCAGCATCAGCATGGCACTGCTGGTCATCCAAGGGAAACACCTTACTGCTGTCACACCCCATCCAGCTAGCAGCAGTACGACTTCGCCCTCAGACCCCCATCATAGTGTAGCAATTTACACTATAACGGTAACTGCTTTTCGTCTAACCACTACCCAACAGACCTTTCTGGTATGGTAGGACCTCGAGGGAACAAGCGTTCCACCAGCATAGCTCGTTGGGTCATTGTGATATGCAAGCCCGACCACCACGTCAAGGTAGCAGCTATCGGTCGGGGTTGTCAACCACTGCTAGTTTTCGTTACGAATATTCTTAATCAGTTAACGTGCAAGCTGCTCCAGCTTGTTACCGTGGTCGGAGCTAGTCAGAATAAGTCTTCTTGCATCAACCACTTCAGAAAGAACCTGTGAAATTCATTAGCTTCCAATAACTCAAGATTGTACGTAGCCAACTGTATTCGTGGATGTACCTACAGCCCGCCCAATATACAGCTAGCTTTCAAAAACATGAGGAACTGCTGACGTGGTAGGATAATGCTTGGTGTTCTCATTAAGCTGATTACATAAAGACTTTATACTGCAGGTTTGCCGTACTCGCTTAGGAACAGACGAGCTCAAACCAGTACAGCACTGACTTCTATCCAGGTACTTCAGGAAGAGAGAAATCCCTCGATGATAGCTTAAAGTGAATTGATCTACCTGCATCCATCAATTATAATATCATATCAGTGGTTATCAAGTTACATAATCTCTTCTCCTTTATCTAAAGCTAGAAAGAAGTAGAGGTGCTCACAAAGCTGCATTGTAACAGAATACAGTATAAATGCAAAAGAATATCCAATATAGCGATTGTACATCTTATTTCATACTAGGTTACTCAATACACAAATATACAAACCATCTCCGAATACAAAGCAATAAGATCTATAACTGTAACTATTTGAATCTGTCAGAGGTTGTTCCACAAGTAAATGAAGACGACTGTATCTCGCATTCATCTATCATACCTATTTCACAACTTCGCCATCCATCTTGCTGGCATACATATGACATACACTGTCTTCAGGTAAAAACGAAACGCACTCAGACATCTTGTCTACATACAGGGAATGAGCTACACCTATTGTGTAAGGGTTAGTGATACTACCTGGCTGCCGAAACCTCGGTAGGTGGAGTGGGAGTCGAACCCATCGTAAAACTGTGGCTAATCCACTTAATCACTGAACTTTCAAGCTACAGTTTCTGCGTTCGAATCCTCCTCCGCTTACTTCAGCTTGGGTAACTAGATTACAATCATAATTCCTCATACAACAAGTTTGGCTTATTATATATAGACCTTATGCACCGATAACACTACCGGGTAGTTCAAACATCTCAGTAGACGGAGACAGCTTTAAAACTACCAATGAAGTTGATTGAATAAAAATACAACAATTGAATTACCAACTAGCAAAACTCTACAGGAAAACCCAGTATTACCCGAATGTTGCATATTATATTCAGAATAGAAGTATGAATGAAAAGCACATACAGATAGAGTTCATAAATTTAAGCTGCTAACCAACACACACCACAGATGAATTGACAAACAAATTATTTCCAAAGAAAACGACTTGTTTACAAAATTAACAATATTATCACACAAAATACTTGAGAAAAAAAGAATGAGAAATAAGCGTAAACTGGAAAATACTAAGTAGTAAATGACAATAAGAACAATATACCATAGCAATCCCAAGAATAAGACAAGTCTAGTAAATTTTTGCATATCCATATGTGTATATGTTTGTAGGTGAAGAAAGCACCGAAATATTGAGAGTCACTTAAGTGCACTATCCGAGTGTATCACAAGATGTGTTATGTCAGATTATTTATGTCACCGACCCATTGCACAGGTAAACTACCAACACGTGCATAAATTTACAGACAAATCAACCGGTTATTACAATACAAAATGATACTAAAACGAAAAAAAATTCCTCAAATCACATTTTTTTATCAGACACTTTTGAGGATATCAAACAATAACAGGCTAGTAAGAAGTCAGTATTCACGTGTTCAACATCCTAATCAGAAGAAGACAAATTTGAAACAAGTATGTGTATTCATGAACTGGGGTTCGCCGAAAGATTAAGACCTGTGAATAGATAAACAGAAATGAATAAACACAGATATACAATAATATCTTTTAGATCGAAAACTAAAACGACTGTGGCAGAAGTGAATATGGCAGTCTTTAGATATTATCACGAGTTTGAACGAAAAGCTTAAAACCCACTCTCAGTAACTCTGACTCTCTTCAGGTAGCTAAATCCCTCCGCTAAAGTTACGTACCAGGTCGTCAATATGAAGGTGTACAAGGCGCAGCTGAGTGGTGTGGGTGCTTTTACTGCTCTCCTGGAAGACTGGAGATGGTATGTACACCGGGGATTACGGGTTGAACCTAGTTACGCGACGGAGAGCCTCCACGTGGACCTGCTGGATATCAACCAATACATCGTCAGAGTTGACTTAAAGGTGGACGAGATCCATATGCACAGACTAGTGGCGTGGGTCTAGCTAACGACATCAGGATCCCGCCCAGTGAGCTGGAAGTAGTGCAACAGAAAAGGAGGGAAATCTAGCTTCCTAATTTCTAGTCACTGTTATTGAACCACACCCTAGAGACGAGGTGTGGCTTACCTTATAAAGGCGTACAATATTCAATCCGGAATCCCAGGTGTCGTTTGCCCTAGCCTTGGCTGTATATCAGTAGTCCGGAACGACCCAGTGCTGTGAATAAACCATCATTATTAGTTCATACGACAGGCCTCTTGGAAGACTGTCTTTTCAGAAAGGTGAGCTGCAAAAGTGCGGAAACTCAGTGAGAGGCTATCCCACGTAATTCTGCCACGGGGGGAGGAGTACGGCCAGCAAACCTATCACCCAACGAATGTGGATGTGTTGAAGCCTGACAGTTGAAAGGGTTCTGGAATTAAACTGACCAGCTTTAAGGGGGCGTTAACAGAGTGCTCTGGAGCATTTGTTTTCACATAGAAGGGTTGCTAAGTGGGCGAATTTATCCATCAGGTCTGTATTGGAAAAACCATAGATCTGAAGACCGGTCCGCAGCTTGAAGATGAGTTGTTAATTGGAGCAAAACTCCCTTATCAGGAGTATGCATGACAAGTTTCAAACCCACTCTCAGTTAGCAATTTTTGGTGTCAAGACCAAGACACAATAAACGCAAAACCCCGCACACAAGTGCATCAGTTCAAGTTGCAAAACTTTGCAAAGAATAAGTAGACAGAAAAGGACTGGTGTGAAAGTAGATAAAGGTGTGAGGGGGGATGGGGGACGGGAATGTGGAAATGTTCAAGCTTTACTAAATATCAGACAGCAAACACATTTGCGTCACTGTAATCAATTTTCAGCCATTTCACAGTCTCCAATCATTGATTCCTATCATCTCAAGTACCCCAACCAAGTAGCTTACACCTCCCTACACGGCTCACACTAATAGTTAGAGACTTTATGCACTCCTGCAACGCCTTAGTTCAGCCATTCTGAGCCTTCTCGCAACCTAAATCAACTTCTCCTAGTATTGGACGTCGAGGTAGTCGGTAGCTCAGCATGTACAACTTATGTTCATAACCTTATCGATTGATTTGCTGACCTTACCTAGTACACTTTACCTAGCCTCGGTATTGATCACGAGATGATTTCATCATATATCAGCAATGCTACGATGACGCCTATGGTCAAAAACTTGTTACCTCTTTGTATGTTCTCATTTTAACGGTCGCCTCCCAACCGTATAACATGAGAGGATGGATTGCAATGTAATGTACTCGTCGTTTCATAGGTAATCGGATACTTCGCCAGTTGGCAAATGCTGAAAGAGCTTTCTGTATGCTTGCTGGTATTTGTCAACAAGTAGCCCATCGGGTGTAGGCAAAAACAAAACAGCGATTTATTCTTCATAAAACAATTATGATTTAGATGATATTGTGTTCTTTGAGCCAGATTGTTTAGTTGTAGAGCCTTCGTTGTCATTCTAGACAATATCAAAAGTACGAAATCCAGGAAGAAGTGAGCCATAAGGTTTTCTCAGCAATTTACTTAGTAGCTTGTCCTGATAGCCTTGTGTGTGATTGGATGTTTCTCCCAAGCTCTTTTCATTGTCACTATGTTTATTTTGATTGGTTGTCCTGATGACCTGAAATTTGGCTTTCTTGTTGTTTTTTATTGGTTGATAGATTGGGTCAATATCAATATGTCTGTTGATTGTTGACTGATCCAAACACCAAGCTTCTAAAAATTTTCTGGTATTCTTGGGATTTCTTCTATCCAGGATTTTCACATTCTCCCAGTCAAATTCATGTCCACAATGGTCTTTATGCATTGATATGAGCGAAGATATGTCATCACACTTCACTACTAGCTGATGTTTATGTAGATGGGTACGAAGAGGGCGATCACCCTGTCCGTTGTAGTTTTTTTGCAATTTCTGAAGTTTGCTTTGTACATAACGTTTGATTTTTCTTCTTTTGCTATTTCATTTTTTGGCATGCATAGCGGAGAGTGAAGAGATTTTGTGGGATTGTAAGCTGAAACCATTCCAAAAGGCTTCAATAATCTAGTCGTGATCTCGAAGACGTTCTTTATGTAGGGTAAGATAATTCGTTCATTATTTTTCGAGATGACTTTTTGGTTGGTGACAAATTATGCAGACATGTTATGATGAAGCTACATGGATAGCTGATCTTCTGGAAAATATTCATTATATAGTTTTCTTCTTTTCTCAGCAAGATTGATGTACTACAGTGTCTTTACTCTTTTGAAATATGTTTTTATACAACTGATTGTATGCGCTGTTGGATTGTTCCTATTGTAGTTGAGGATTTGATCCGTCTGGGTTGGTTTTCTGTATACTCTAGTCTCCAATCTCCCAGAAATTGTTCTAATGATCAAGATACCTAAAAATACAAGTTCTTTTACATGATTCCTCTACAGTGGTGAGTTTCATGTTGTTGGTTAATTTGTAAGCGTTTTTCAATTCATTTCTTTTTAATGATGACAAACGTGTCATCTACAGACGGGATCCAAAGTTTCAGTTGCATCAATCTCAATACTGCAGTTTTTAACCTTTGCATTATTATTCCTGCAGTTATTTCGGATATAGGCGATCCCATTCGTGTTTTCTTTGTCTATTTGTAGAGTTTGCTGTTGAATTGAAAATATTTTTTAAGGCATAAATCTATTAATTCTATCAAAAAGTTGAACACTGCACTTGTGTGTTTGAAGGGTGTGTATCCTTGGCAAGGAGAAGAGTCATCCTATCCTTAGCCAGTTTTGGTTCATTTGAGGTGTATAGAGCTGTAATGTCGAAAGACACCATTAGTTCGTCGTTGTCAGTATGAATATGCTTGATCTTTTCCAAAAATTGTGTCGAAGAGTTGACTGAACGATCGCATGATTCTACCCTCGTGGACTATAAATATTCTTCATCTTAATAACAAGTATTCTTAACTGATGCTAAACAAAAAGTAGATCATCGATTAACATGATAGATGTTTTTTAGCCTCACAGAAAATGCACCAGATAATGCAGTAGATCATAGTGGAGCTGTAGCTCATCGGTTTAGGGAAATGACTTTCGACTAACACCAATGGGCTGCGAGTTTGATCCCTGCTCCATCTACCGAGGTTTGGACAGCCAGGTAGTATCATTAGCCCTCACACAATAGGTCTGGCTCATTGCCTGTTCCACAAATGTGCACAAGGTTGCTGAGTGCATTTCGATTCGTAACAAGTATATTGCACATAAATTTCCCTTATGAAAGTTAACACTGTATACAAATATAAAACTAGCTAGATGATACTTGGTTTCAGTGTTTACTTAGGTTAAGTATACGTGATACTGTTAATTCCTTTCCCACTTGTTTTTTGTTTACCCTTTGGGATGTTCCCCTTCTATCCCCTTTTTATCTTCGGTTTTATACTACTTAGTATTTTTAAGTAGTATAACTCATGTTGCCTTATAATGTTGCTTCGTTCACATGCTTGACTGTTCATTCTGTTCAATCGTATCCTGTTCACCCCTTAACATCCCTGGGTATTAGTATCTTTCACAGTCAATGGTGGTCTTGTAAATTCTTTCCTTGTTCCCTGATGTTTTATTTTGCCTTTTTTGGCGGCCTGCTTGAACTCTGGGCTACCGTTTTCTATCATCGATGAATTGAACCGTTCTACTTGGATTGGCATATGGGTTCGTATGCGGTGGCCTGGATATTACCTGAGTTTTTATTACGATATGTCTTCTAAATGTATCACGTACTTTCGCACTGTTTTGAAATGTTTTCAAACTCTCGTTTCACAAGCTGAGAGCGAAACAAAGGATGAAGGTTACACCGGATGGAAATGGATATAGGGATGCCTAAAAATACAATTTTTCTACAGGCTGATTCAATTACATCCGCCATGATTCTGTATTCATCCACTATTCCGGACTAGACACTATTATAATATCTGCTACTCATTTCAAATTAGTGCGTTTAATCTCGCTGTTGTTAACACTATTCAGACGCAAAAATTACTTCTTTTAAAAATTCCGTACGGCGAGAGTATCTGTTCAAACACTACCTGCTGAAAATTCCATGATGTATAATATATGTTGTTTGGAATAAAGCGTTTATTATTATTGTTATTATTATTATTATTATTATTAACATTTGTTTATCTTGAGTCTTTACCCTATCACGAGAACTTACGCGTCTTTAATACTCCCTTCTGGTTGCTTGGACACAGTATTGCTGTTTTTACTATTGACGCACTCTTTGCAAGTGCTTTAATAGCGATAAACTCATAAATACATCACGATTCGAGGTTTGTATTTTATTACTCAATATTGCTTGTTAACATAGAACCGTATTTCAGACAAATCCTGTGTGTTCTGGATTTTACGCGTAACTCGAATGTTTGGTTGATTGTTGAGAAGTCCCTTGTTCGTTTTGATCCCGAATTTCTTGGAAAGAAATTCACAGATACTTTTTAGGAAACCAAGAAATGCATAAACGTCCAGATTTTCCTTCAGCATATTTGATGGATTTCTTACAAGAATGCATCTCACTAATATATGGTAAGCACGTTTACATGTATACAAACAATGAATATGCCTTAAAGTTTATGATTAAACCTGAATTCGAACTAGTATTCATCATGATTTAATCCTATTCAATTAGGATGTTAACTCCCTGTGATCCGCCCCATAAGTTGTCCAAGGTTTAAATAAGTGGTTCTTACTTATCTGTAGTGACGGGAAGAATACTGACTCCGGAAGTAGAAACTCCACTCAATTAGTCACTTACATTCCGTTCGTATCAGAACATTGATTAGAAGCTAATAGAACGAACACATGGAAATATCTGTTTGCAATCTCCCCATATGTATTCATAGACTACATGCTATACACACTATGAAACACAAGTTTCTCTGAGTACTCAAACGTACTCATATAAATATCAGTCGATGAAATTAGTAATAAATTACGGACCAGAAATGCGAAGACATCTGGGTAGCATCACACTGTGATCCTACGTATAAGTTAAACAGACAGTAGTGTAGACAACATAACAATGTCTGGATTTTCCTTATTCTTATACAATACTTATACAACACACAAAAGTATGAGCAGACTGTTAATATATGGATTAGTAAGCAGGAATGAGAATATATTTCAACTCGGCACATGTGCTGATGTAATACGCTGTTAACCACAGGGATTGTACAGAGGCTACTGATACTATTTAGTTGGCAAGGTCGAAGGAGGTGGAGTGAATCCTGGACCTATTGCTTGAATGTTAAGCTTCATAAATTTGTTGAACTACAATGCAGAATTTCATGTCCATTTTAAATATACGTATAACTTACTTTCTAAAGGAGGCATTTTTACATCCAACGGAGGCATTCCAGGTAAAGAAATCACTGTTGATGAAGGCAGATTATCACTCACTGGATTAAAGTATCGAGCACTTGTCTGTGGAATATGAAACTGTGAATACTGAGGAGTATTTTCATCGTTTGTTGTGGATTCAAAAGAAATTAAAGGTGTGTTCTGTGAGAAGACTGGTCCACTAGATGAACTCATTGGTGGTACATGAAACATATTTGTCAATCCTGGAGGAAGAGGTGCAGGAGGAGGAATATTCGAAGCCTGCATAAATGCTGATGGTGGTACAGGGGTATAGGATTGATCAAAGGAATCTGTACTGCTGACTGCAGCTTGGAATGGGTAGGCTGCTGCTGTTGGAGGTTGAGGTGGTAACGATGATGATGATGATGTTGAAACTAACGGGACCTACATAAAGTGATCAGTATTCCGGGATGAAGAGCCAAAATAAACACAAACACCAGTAAGTCAGTTTTAATGCACCAAATAACGAAAAGTTAACTAGAATTAACTACACTATGTTCTCGAAGCAAAGTAGTTCATAGACGTGTGCTACAACACCAACAAGCAGGTGGTGATGGATCAACTCGTCGATAAGCAGTGCAAAGTCATTCTGTACAATTACGCTTCTTTTATAACTCACCTGACGGCAACTAGCGGCTGAAACCAGGGTGCGCGTTTCGTCCTGCTTGGGACTCGTTATCCGCATGTGTACTTGCATTCCGGCGAGCAATATCACCCCCACTGGGACTCGAACCCGCACTTGTCGCTTCAAGTGCTAATGCGTTATCCACTAGGCTGCTGAGACACGGAAGTAGTCTCTTGTGGTCATTAATTGAACTCAGCAACAACTGATCTAGGATCAATCAGTTTCAAAACACACTGTTGGTCATCGTCAGAAATGAGCAAAGCGGTTGTGCCTAGTGCTACTGATCCGTATACGTGATCTCAAACTACTCATATCAATCGACGTACAGCTCACAACCAACAAGCAGAACATACATTTACTGGTGTGTTCTAAAGATTATTTTTGATATATGTCAGTGAATTACTGAAAAAAGTTGAGAAAGAATATCACACCTGTGCATAACTGCCAGTCTTTATACAATATATCATGTACCTCTGCGTACATGAATCTGCGTAGTGAAAAATAGAATTATTCAGTGCTCATTTCACATTATCTCACAGGATGCATTAACCCTAAAACACATGACGAGTAAACTTTCAAATCTTCAGGACTTCAACTACTCCGAAGTTTATAATAAACCATATCATTTATTATCGAACTGATGCTATTATAGACGATCGACTTGCTCATTGAGTCATGGATTCTAAATGTACATTATCTACTTACCTCTGTTTAGGCAGAGAGCTCAAAAAATTCAGTAGGATTCACAACCTGATGTGTAGACCTACTTTTGGTTAGTTAAAGGTTGTTTATTATTATGGTATAGGTATTTATTTCCCAGTCAATCTGAAACAAAATTGGGTGTAGTACTGGACTACTTTTTAAGAGTTCGTTTTCTCTTTACAGCTTTCTCTAACGAGTTAGTTGGCCACAGTCACCAGACTAAATCCTTTTGAAAATGCCCCAAAGTAATGTAACCCATTAGTCCAATGGATAACAACATAAGGCAGCCGTATAGGTATAGGAATTGATCTTCAAGTAGAAAACTAACCAGTCAAGATTTAAGTACACCTGAATTTTAGAAAGAATGACTGAGACAGAAAAAATCATGGTTGAACCTAGCGCACAAGTGAATCAGCTCAACTTGCCACACTTCACAGTAGTACACAAAAATTAGGTGGATAGGAAAGTAGTGATATAGTACCAGACAATGTTGTGTAAGAGAATAAACAATCTGAAGATAACGGATAGTATAAATATTTAAGATTTACAAGACATCGAAGTGTGAATACATCTGCGCCATTATGACCAATTTTCAGCAATGTCAGCAAGATTGTCCTCAACCAGTGATTTCTTTCGTCTCGGGAACCCCAGCCAAGCAGTCTACCTCTATCTACACGGCTCAGACCAACAGTAAGAGGCCTCATCGACTGGTGCCATATCTCGGTCTGGCCACCCTGAACCCTCTTTCAACCTTATTCAATTTCCCTCAGCATGGCATGTCGAGGAAGGAGGTGGCTCGGCGTGCACATGTCCAAGCCATCTCAGTTGCTGAAGGTTGACGACCTCATCAATCAACTTGCCTATCTTGCTCAGTACGCTTCGCTTGACTTTAACATTGCTCACACAATTATCCCAGCAAATGCAAGCAATACTACGAAGATATCTGTGATCAAAACCAGAGAGAATGAGACGCAAGATTTTAATCCAACAGATAACCACTACCAACAACGAAAACATCAACAAGATGAAATGAAAGGTTGAAATTTTATGGAGATACATTATCTCAACAAGAATATATAGTGTCAAATACTAACAGGTAAAACACACATTGCCTAAACCATTCTACCAAATGTGACAGAAATGAACAGTAATATTATGAAGACAGCATACTCTACAAGAAAACTATGTGTATAAAACTTACCTCAGCAAATGCGTGTGGTGTTGCAGTGCTAAACGTGTATGGAGGCGGAGGAGAATATTGTGCAGAAATTCCATTCACAGTTTGATCTGATGGCATAGGTGACATCTTTTGGTCTCCAGCAGGTATTTTAGTGAACTCTTGAACCTGATGTACTGCACCACATGATGATTGTTGTTGTGAAGGTGTAGGTGGTAGCCCGGTTGTTGGAATACGATGCAGGTAACCATAACCAATATCACAACCGAGTAGACCGTTGCCACCCCAATTAGAATCTGGTTTAAGATGAATTTCACGGCATGAATCTGATTCGGAATTGTAAACATATAACTGAACGACATGCCCATCCGAGGAATCAATCAGGTCGAAAAAGTCATCTCTCTTAGTAAAGAGGAAAAAATATAACATTACCAAGAGTAAATTATGCGAAAATATAACAATGTATGAAGGAACTACTCAAACTTGCCTATTCTTCCTATAATGGAAAATAGTTTATAGTTAAGCAGCCAAATATGTAGCTAAACAGGAAAGTTCATACTATCTCTTACAACACAGTTCAATACAACAGATAGATGCATGAGCAAAAATATGAAACCTGGAAGAATTCTGTAGCGATTCAATTTATTACAATTTAAACTAACCACAGTGAGAGAAAATAAACAACGCTGAAAAAACACATAAGGAAGAGCAACTGCTGACAGGTGGAAAAAGAAAAACGAAAAAGTTGGGGAGAGGTGATAGTGAATAACAAGATTGTCGACATCAACATGAAGACAAAACGTCAATATATCTGTACTAATATGGTCGATCCTGAGTCATGACCTATGACGGAATCAATTGAGAAGCAAACATTTATCTAACTCAGACCAACAGTAAGACATCGAATGGGTTGGTATCGTGTAGCACTCGGATGTATCTGTTATCCTATTGTTAGTTCCGTTAACTCAAGAGCTGTACACTCAGATATCTAGTTTTCACTTAGTGAGGTATCTATTTAAACTCCACCACACCTAACAAGTTTTGCAGTCATGTGAATTTATTCACAGTTTATTGAAAGTAAACGCCTGTCCTGGGAGGTCATCAGGCTACCATCCGTTTCAGTGATGATTTCACTCACCATCGCGTCTTTTTATTGCCGGAATCCTTAATAAGCCTAAATAGTTACCGGGCGTTGCCCAATGTTGATGCCTTTTCCATCTTTCTCACTTTCGTCACCCACCATTGCATATGATCGATGCGAAGACTCTTGGTCAACTACTTTAAAGTTGCTTTCGCTGTTCGTTGTGGTCAGAGCTACCTAGAATCAGTCTTTTTGCATCAGTTAGTTAGGATGACGTCACGGAAATCCAATGACGTTACCTAACCTTCGGGTGTAGGTTACCAAATGTCATTATCACTCTCTACAACAGACTTAATATCACGCCAGGTCTCCCCAGGAAGAACACTGCTGTCATGTTTACATCAATGCTTAGCTAACTTCTCTCTAAATAAGTACTTGGCATCCTTATGTGCCGACTGAGCACAGGTGGGCCTCACTGCCTCCTGTTTCTTGTGACCAGTAGGGTGCAGATATACACGAGCGCGTACAAGTACGTGATCGGAGTCCAAACAGGCACTCCAGAAACAGCGGGAATCCTACAACGATGACTTATAGCAATGTGATTAATCCATTTCCATCGTTGGTTTGAAGTCGGCGGATACCGTGTGAAGCAGTGTCTTTCCTTATGTCTAAATTAGTGCTGGTCAAAAACAAGTGATTGTCAGAGCGAAAGTGCAACAGACGATCACTGTTGTCGGCTGGTCCACATGGGATTCTGTAAATACCTCACAGATACCTTTCCGATTGGCTCAGTTTCCCTACTTGAGCGTTGAAGTCGCCTACCATTATGACTACATCTCAATGCTATGCTTTCTGTAGCAAAGTTAACAGCTTCTCACAGAATTCATCATTTGCATCGTCCGGACTGTAGTCAGTGGGTGCATAGGTAGAGTTTAGGAATAGGTACCGGTTGGTTTCACGGTCCCTTCCTACTTCCTACAGATCCATTCAGTTGAACAGCACATGGACTAATATCCAGTCAAGAAGCGCACTTTCTGTCACAGTTAAATACTATGCCCAAACTAGCGAGTCCACGAGAGCAACCCACTGAATATCCGGATACCCGTAAAGTCAATATTAAAGATTCACTCCATTAGTCAGGTGAGACTAAGTCAATAACCACACTCGCGTCGTGTATGCGTGTCTCAGAAACATAGTATATATTTATGTGTTGAAACCACAGTTTTGGCAAGCGATACCTGCTGTTCGGTTTAATATAGGGTTCGGATGTTAAAGGTTCCAACATAGAACTAACAGCGAGGTCTTTGGAGACTAGGGGTAGTGCTTCACTGACTTAGATCCTGGGAATGGTTGCAGAGTGAGAGGTTGAGGAAGTTGTAATAGGTCTTATATTGGTATCAAGAAATGAGGGCGACGGAGAAGACAAAAGGTCAGAGGGTAAAGTTATGCGTTCGTATACCATTGGAAGCATGTGGGTGATTGACACTTCGCGGCTTTCCAAACCGAGGAAGCTGTTTTGCGGGTATCTGAAAGAGAAAAGGAAGGGATTTATGAATACAGAGCCCATGGGACATCTACTTGAAGCCTGTCACACACAGCTATTTGACCGTTGTTTGAAATTCGGTTATTTCAGCGCCGGACAGGAAAAACCCATACCACCAGTACCGGAATATCGCAGACAAAGCTGACCTTTTCTGTACTCCCATTCCCATACAGAAAACAGCTCCAGCATGATGCTGCCGCTCATTAACGAAAAACACCTTACTGTTATCACACTCATCCAGCCAGCAATAGGGCCTCATCCTCGAACCCTCATAATAGTGTACCAATTTACACTATGACGGGAACTACTCGTCATCTCACCACTATCCAACAGACCCTTATGGCGTGGTAAGACCTCAAGAAAGCAGCTCCCAACCAGTGTAACTGGTTAGGTCATTGTGAAATGAAAGCCCGACTACGACGTTAAGATAGAAGCTATTGGTAGGGCTTACTAAAAGCATCTCTACTTGGAGGTTGATTTGTTATGACTTATTTTCTGCCAGTTACAATATCTAGGTAGGTGGCGATATGGTACTGCAGCCTATCCATGGGGCTGCATGCCATTACATTATTACTGATCCATTTCTTGCCTACTGTTTTAGCATACAGCTTCTACGCTAGGTGCAGTTTAGTCACTTCTAAGTCATGAAAATTTATCTGTTCCATATATATATATATATGATCGGTGAACTTTAATTGGCCAAACTTATCGAGATATGATACAAAAATGTCAAGATAGAGTAGGTTTTAATCAGTATGTGGAGCCACACAGTTTCAAATTGGCATGGGACAAAAAAACTCATTTACAACATCTGTGTAAAAGTATGTCTATGAAGCCAGTAACAACAACAAAAAATTATACCAACGTAGAAGGCCAAAAATATTACGGTTCCCACTTTTTCAACAGGATGTAAAGTAAGTATTCCAAGAGACTAGTCTTTCATCATGATTATTCAACTTCTGAACAGGAAGTTCTCCAGCATAAGAACGAAATACAGAATTCCATTGCATTCTTACGTGCTGAACTTCTATTCTTACCGATGCTCAGCGTGAATTCGAATTCAAGTCTTTGATTGAAAATATACATTGCAGACATAACCTGGACTGGGAACCATAACTGCTTAGGACTTCCTTGTTTTGCAGTGTTGCTTCAATCGACTTCATATTATGAATACTCTCATCTTTAAAACGATACCATATTATCAAACTCCATTATTCGTTATACGGGTTGATGGTCGTAGTTACTAAGTAAATGCATGATAGGGATTCAAGTTTCAATAAGTAATTAGTTACGTGTGTAGACTATTTAACCTTGTTGTTTAAACACAGTGCTATATGCTTTAGTAGAAGGCCAGGTGGTGGATATCCGTCTACTCTAAAATTGCAAATGAATTCTCACCTTGAATTGAAATTTCGAACTTAAGAAGTGATATATACATGCATGGATAATGGTTTTCTGATGATAGATAGTTGTTACGTTGATGTGGTGATCAGTTCTGCATATTGTCTTAGTGGTCGCAGAAAATGGGCGACAGTAAAGCCTGTTTATGGACGATTGGATGACGAGGACATCAAGTACGCATTTAGAGAAGAGTTAGGCAAACATTTATCTGAACATAACAGCAATGCTCATCCTGAGGAAATCTGGCGTGATATTAATTCTTATGCAGAAACAGCGGTAGAGACAATCGGTAACCGACGCTCAGGTAGGAAACATCCGTGGATTTCCGAAACGTTATCCGAACTGACTGATGCGCGAAGACTGGTTCCAGCAGGGTGTGATCAAGGTGAAGAGCAAAAGCAACTTAAACGTAAGTTGACCAAGAGTCTTTGCGTCGATCTTGAGCAGTGGTAGGCAGCGCAAGCGAGAGAGATAGAAAAGGTATCAACGTTAGGTAACACTCGGTAACTATCTAGGCTATTTAAAGATACTGGCAAGACGGTGGCGAGTGAAACCATCATCAATAAAGGATGGTAGCCTGATAACCTCACACAAGCGGCCAGAAAGTTAAGCAGTTCAACCGGTCCTTAGCAACGCTTGTTGCAAACATCCAGCCTGAACTTGAATCGGACGCAGCTGTCGGTCCCCCAACTTTCCTTGAAGTTGAAAAAGCTGTATCAAACCTGAAGCGATGCGAAGCAGTAGGACCTGATAGCTCGCCATCCGAATTTTCCAAGGATGGGGTTAGGAAATTGCTGCTTGAAGTGACTGAAGTACTAGATAGTGTATGGGGATTGGAGGTAGCGCCGTCAGACTGGTGCACTGACCATCCAAATTTATAAGGAGGAAGAATCTTATGAGAACCATACAAGAATCAGCCTAACAAACATCAAGTCCAAGATCCTGGGTCCATAGTTATCCAACGCCTAACTGGAGCTCGAGAACAACAAACTCGAGAGAAGCAGGCAGTTTTTAGACCTAGCTGAAGATGCGTTGATCAGAGTTTCACCCTCTAACAGGTTTTGGAACACAGGTATATTGATTGGTCAGTGAACGACACTTGCTATAATTCTTTATCTGAAGGCGGTATTTGACTTAGTCGATGCTTTAAATAAACTATTCTTCACTTTTGTTATCATTAACTTAACATGAAATCAAAAGTTACGCATCTATCAGCATCGTGAACAACTTAAACAACTGAAATGCCGCAAGGATTTACTATTAACACGTCTTGCCAAAGTATAGACAGTTCTCATAAAGCGAAACGATTACATCGAGTAAATGTCAAGTCTACTCTCAGAAAAAAACAGATTTATTAAACCTACAAACGAAATGAATTGAACAGAACCAATTCAAAAGTAACTAACTGACGTGCTAAAAAGACCGAAAAATAATCATTTAGTCAGCGGTGTTTATGACAACATTAGACCAACAAGTTCGAAAATACTGCAGTTTTATGGTTTCCCAAAAGGTTCCGGAACACAGGCAAACGTGCTAACCGTTGGACGATACTTGCTATATTTCTCAACCTGAAGGCGGCATTTAACTCTGTAGACCTTGAGGTGTTGCGGCAGTCTGACTGTGAAAGGACTACCGATCAAGTACATAACGCTAATAAAAGCTTTCTACTCGAACTCATGCAGTCCTGTCAGGTGAGGGGTACTAGGCAAGATAGATAAGTCAATTGTTGGGGTTGTGAACCTCCGACGATTTAGGTGGCTTGGACAACTAGTACTAGTACTACGCATGCCGAGCCACCGCTTACTTCTACGTACCATGCTGGGGAAAGTTAGATTAGATTGGAAAAGGTTTCAGATCGGTCGGACCAGGACATGGCACCAGTCGATAAAGCCTCTTATTGTTGGCCTGAACTGTGTGGCGAGATGTAGACCGCATGGTTGGGTCCTCAAGACGAAAGGAATCAGTGGTTAAGGATTGAATCTTGGTGACACTGTTGAAAACCCGTTACCATTGAGCAGATGTATTCACTCCTTGACATCTTCTCAAGCCTGAATATTTGGACTAATCTTTATCTTCAAATTGTTTATTCTCTCAGCAGCGGTAACGAATTTCCTGCAGATGACCGGCAGTACCATACTGATATTGCCCTCGCTATGGAGGTTATAAAACGTTGGTCCTAAAAACAGCATACTTCCCTCTAGCCTGCGAATTGGCAGTGCCAGTGATATCGCTTCAAAGTTAGAGTCGATACTGAAGAGCTTAAATATCAAATTTCTAAAACGGTCGAGTGATCGGCTTCAAGTAGGTGTCCCAAGCGCTGTGGTCATGCAGGTACCTCAAGAAGAAATTACCCTCCATAGTATAGGCACTAGGCTAAAATTTAGTAAATGTAGTGGTGGTAGGTAACAGTAGACAGTTATTTAGGATTACTAAGAGAAGTGGAGCGAAAAGGTCAGGGATTAATGAGACTAGAGCGGAGAAGGATTGGTCTGTTGTTTACTAGCAGGAGAGACGACAGGAACGATTGGCGGAACACTTCGAGGAACAGTTCAACTGACCTCCAGCTACTATTTCGTTTCCCGCTATTCAGCCGGAGCACGAATGGAACATCGAGATAGGATCTAGATGTGATCCTGTCTAACTAGCTTCAATCAGTAATTGTCCCAGTCTTCAAGAAAGAAGTCCTCTTTTGACAACCACAGGGAATCAGCCTGACGAACATAGTGTCTAAGACTCCAGAAGTCTAAATGGAGTTCAGGAAATGCAAACTCGAGAAAACCAGGTAGGTTTTATAACCATGACTGTATTGATTAGATTGTTATCTTCCCCCGGGCCCGACACTAGCTGTATTTCTCTACCTGAAGGCGATATTCGACTCCGTAGATCGAGAGGTCTTATGTCAATGTTTCTGAAACGGGTACCGAATAAGTTACATCACTCTGTTAATGGCTGTTTACCCGAACATCAGTGGGCATGTAAGCCTATGGTGAGTTGTTAGGCAAGCTGTGTACAGACGTATTTATGGAAATTTCCTTTTGTCATCTGATTTCACAAGGATTGATCTTATCACAGGATAATTCTTGGTAGACCTACAGTACACAGATGAAGTAGTTTTGTCAGGTGAAGACTCTAACAGGATACAATCTTTTGGACACTTCAAGTAACAATTTAAGAATGTTTGGGATGCGTTTCTCGCCATCCAAATGCAAATTGTTGCTCAAGGACTGGTTTTCCGCGGTGCAGCCACTAACAAAAGAGAAATGGTTGAGTGCATTGGACATTTAACCTATCTGAGAAATTGAACCGGCCTTGGTGAGTCATTGGCCGACAAAATCTCTGCACAGATAAAATAGGCTCGACTGGCTTTCACCAACTTACGCCATTTATGGCGCCGCCACGATATTCGATTGTATATTAAGGGTGTAGTGTAGTGTGCTGCAATTTGCTGTCTTCTACTGTATAGCTGTGAAATATGTGGAGTGAAGGTAGAAGGCAGGAGAAGGCTTCAAGTGTTTGACCACTGTCGCCTTCGTAGCATAGGCTGTGTCGTAGTGTCACTAAGTCAGTAATGCAGGTTTTAAGTGTAGAGTTTTAGGGAGGAAAGTCGTTTAGTGAAGTAATGAACTTTTATCAACTTACTTGGCTGGGATGTGTGTTACGCATGCCTAGTCACCGTCTGCGTCGTCTCAAAATGTCAAATGAAGTAGAATCAATCCAGAAAAAGGCTAGAGGCGGCCAGACTAAATCATGACATCATTGTATGAAGCATTTGACACTTGGTGCGGGCCATGTAAGGAAATACAAACATCCCGGTTGGGGTGCGTGCAACAGCAGAAACTAGTGGGTGGAGACTGTAGGTGCCACAGCACAGAGTCAGTCTGTGGCACACATATCCGCACATTATCATCTTAATCGTCATATTGTATGCAGTATTTTCTTATTCCTACTTCATGTCTTTTACTACTTTCTGTTTTTGACTGATTCTTCTTTATTTTATCTTTCATCCAATTGTTTTATTGCTTGATGTGCTGATATGAAGTGTTACAACTTGAACCGTTATGTAGTGATGGTTTGTCTTATGTTGATGATGATGGTTGTATTTCTCGATAGGGGACTGTCTATAATTCGTTGGACAGCACTTTAGTCTGGAGTTGTTTGTTTCAGAATGCTTCTGTGATAGGTTTGTTAGCGTCATGGGAACTCTATACCTTAACACACTAAGTACAGTGAAGGGGTGAAGCCACCTGTCTTTCTACTGTTCCAAACCAACATTGGGGTCAAAGATAATCGATCTCACTGTAACTCTCTAACTCTGCCATCGACCACATTTTAAAGACAGCTTTGAAGGGGATGCGCAGCGGTGCAGATCTGCTACCAGGTGAAATACTCTTTGACCATGAGTGTGCGGACGACAGTTTTACTATGTGACAACTTACATTAATAGCACTCACTTGTTTACCGTTCAGAGGACAGAAGTACGGCCTGTGCTTCACATCGTCAAAATGCTTTTACAAGATTGACATGAGCCTGGACCTGCACTCATTTTTAGCCGTGAATCGATTGACGTTTTCTATAAGTTTGTGTACTTGAATAGTTGCGTAAGTGTTAGTGGAGTTGTGACTGAAGAGAGTTTTGAGTGCATAACGAGTCAGAATGGCATACGCCAATCAGGGTCACCTTTGACGTCGTCGTCACAACAAATTCGCTGTGAAAGATCGGGTTCGAAACAGGTTATTATGAGCAGTTTCGCTCTTTGCCTGTGAAACCTGACCTCTTCGAGTTGAGTGTTCGAAGGCTTAGGATGTTTGGTCCCTATTGTTTCCGAAGGACTGCTTCTATTTGGTGGAAACATTATGAACTAGATTTCAAGGTAAGGCGGTGTGTTTAAGCTTCATGGAGATCATCATTCACTGTAAAATCGTTTTGAAAGATCGACTCCCGTGGCTTGGGCATGTTATGTATGTAATCTAGAGGCTCATACAGCGTACGTAGTTCCCTTCTCCCGCGACTAATTGGAAGAGGCAGAGATGGTAAGAGTACAACATAGTGCCCCATAGGTTGAATGATAGTTGTATCGACTTAACATCTGTTGGTGCCTTTTGCCTTTCCTGAACGAATTTCGAAATATCACGCAACTCAGAGGTTTGGGGTGACAGCACACACAGCTTAGAATCTAAACCAACTTTGATCGTGATGCAGCTTTTTTGCTTCATCTGGTCTCAGAAAATCAAAACGAAAGTAGTGAATGTATCCCCAAATGTATTTTTGAAATTGGTCCTTTAATAATCCACTCCTGTGTTGTTCCCGTTTTTTCCCATGTCTCCTTTGTGTTTTCATGTTATTTTGCATGGTACATCTCTCGATACCTATGTCACACTAGGATTGCGTTTTTACTTATATAAATCAATAATCCTAGGAACAAAGGCAATAGCCAGTAGGTGATGAATGACAATCTGTTCATTATTTATTCGTATTCACTATATTTAGACCACGCTATCTATACGTTTTTGAACCTGCACATTTTCCATGCATTTTGTAAATACATCACTATTTATTACTGTCAGCGTACAGCGCCTCTTTGGAGTTAACTAGCTAGGTGAAAAATAGTGGTTGGATGAAATTAATGTATAAACAGCATGAAGAGTGGTGGTGACAAAGACAAAGATATAAAATAGGTAAAATACCAGCAGGATTTGTTGGCACTTTGAAACACCGGGCGCCACTTACATATTTTTTGCATACTAATCTATACATCAATCGTTGCATCATTTACTGAATTGAAAGTAACATCGTTTATGTGGAAAATACGCTTTCCGAACATCTTATGTTGAGAATATTTTTAGAAGGAACTGTTTGAGAATTAGGTGTCCATCTTACCCAACCTTATCTTCATAAAGGTGTGTAACATAGTACAATTTATCCTGCCATGCGAAAAGAGATGTGGATACTTCCCAAAAGATTTAACACAAATACACTAGGAATAAATAAGATCAACTGAAGAAGAAGAAAAGCAAACCAGAATGGTAAAGTACACTTACACTATTCAGTATTGAATTAGCCCCGATTATATAATCTGTATATGGTTTTAAGCCAGCCATATCTGCTGGTGATTTAGGCTCAACATCCAACACGTGCCATACATTTTCGTTCGCTCTGTCGAATGAACAATACCGGATACTAACACCCATTAAACCTTGACCACCCCAATGATTATTTGGTATTAGGGATACTTCACGACAGGATTGTGATTTACTCGAATAGACAACAAGACGAACAGGTCTATCTTTATTAGCCTGTAGGAGGTCCTTAATACAGTCATTATCTTCTTCCTGAAAAGAGAAAAAGAATCATTAGCATTAGGCTAAGCATTTTGTAGACATAGTAGTGGACAAAACTAAACTAGTTTATGGTTGTACAGCTAGATTTTTAGACAAAGGACCGATTTCCTCCATGTAATGGAACTTAACGCTGGTTGACAATAAATATCACGTAAGTGAAACTGACGAATATAAGTAAAAAATCTACGGTCTGTCTCACTGTAGAAGTACTATTTATTAACTTCTTTGCAGGCATCCTCATAGTAAGTCGCTTTCTGCTTTTATATGAGAACCGATTTCCTATCTCAAGGCGGTTTGAACGATTTCCAATTCACAAAAGGTGTCTTCATGGCAAAGACGCTCAAACCCTTTACGCCTTAAAATCGTTGGTTTAGGCTTCTTGTCTTTTCGATGCAAACTGATGTATCAGAACTAACTTGAATACTCAGAGCGAAGTGAATGGTTTATTTTTCTAGATATTGCGAACTATTCTGGTGGCATTTGTAGGACTGGAATTTCTGGGATAAAGTGATCTTGGGTGCCATTAGCGAAAATTGGTGTTAGTAAGGCAGACACATCATTTTTTTATCTTGATTTGAGAACCAGATAACTTATCTTTTTGTTCCGACATAATTTGTAGTTTCACTGGCTTCCTTTTCTGAACATGCTTTGAGACTAATATAGAAAATATACCCTCTTAGTTTTGCATTGTTCCGGACAGTCAATTTAATATTGAACATAATGGGAATACCATAGATAAGTGTTTTATTTTTGTTGAACGGAAACACCTCAATACTGCCATAAGATAATTCACTTAAGTGCTCCTTATTTTTTAGGCTGCCAAATATCAATTCCTTTTTACTTTTACTGCCAAATTACCATCCTTCACTATATGCACAAGGGGACAGTTTTCGCATTTGAAATGTAATGTTGACAAATTACAAAATATATGTTATAATTTACAAAAACTAATTTATTAACCTACCAAACGTTTATCACCTATCGCTACGATGAAATCGAAAAAAGCTTCCAAACCAGCTTGATGACCCGGTGAACCTTCCTGAACCTGGAAAAGTAAAATTTCCATAACACTGAGCAATGATAGTACTAAAACATACACGTTATTGAGACGAATCATTACAACTGCTTGTCTGTTGATAAAAAATCTATGTTAACTTTACTCCTGGCCCGAAATAAAAACCACTGCTTACTTGTAAAGATACATATGCACGGAAACACTTCTGTGACAGGTTTAGAGATCAAATATGTACAATATCCTGTGATAAATCAATTAGATCCTGATTTTATGAATGGGTCTTTTAAAACTCTGAAGCGAAAAATGAAAAACTAATAGTTGAAGTTGAGTAATTCATGCACCTTTCGTTTTGTGTCGGCGTTTCTTACATAAATGAGTAGTTCGAAACTCCTTACTTTAATATAGTTTTTTAGTCTTATTTTAACATCGAAAGCGTAGTGCATGGTGTATTAATGTAGGAAGTTTGTGCTGTCTTCATGAAGATCAACTGGTCGGAATACAAACTAACTGGTTATAACCACAAAGGGTTACCAGATACCCTATCTAAAGTGACAGTATCAAGTGAATCGGGGGGAGACTCCGTATTTCTGTACCCTATGACAAGACTCTGAAGGGCTACATGGTTTAAGAATACTTTCATATTACTTTGGGCCGAGGTTTGCTTCATCGGTATACAAACAGTTAACGAGAATGAAGACGATTGGATGAAGGATATCGTTAAGATAAGGTCTGACAGTTCATGACGCCTGTTTTATTAAGGTACGAACATTAATGATACAATACCTGATACATACAACTACGATTGAAAATAAAATTTAGAGACCGTTACTGTAATAACTTGATCATTTTATTCAGGCGTGTTTGATAGAAAATTGAACGAAAGCAGAAAGATTTACCTTCGCACACCTTTTGGAAACACAAAGCAAAGGAAAACTCGAAATTGTGAGAATATGAGCTCAGGGAAATTCAACTAAAAATGTATAATTGTTGGTTGATCGCATTTTCAGTCTACTTCACCTTATGTGGAGTTTCCCGTACATGAGACGACGATTAGACTTACTAACTGTTCTCATATTTTAATCAGTAAGTGGAGTACGTGATATCCATACCCAGCTACTGTTTAACCTTAACAGTCAATATTATCTGAAGTAGAATAGAAAGATTTTACGAGTGACCACAACAACATGGCACCAACACATACACAATTACTGTTGGTCTAGTCGGTTCACCAAACTGTGTTCTTTTCGATCAAGGTGCGTAAAATGGAGGAAAATTTGCTGCTAGAAACAGTGGCGTGGCTTATTACTAATCGAAGTCAACCAATACCAACAAAGTGCCAAACAATATTGTGTAACGGTCAAAGTTTCCAAAACACGTTGATATGTACTCAGCAATCACATGCAAGTTCATGCAGTAAGCAATGAGTCACGCCTGTTGTGTGAGGACTACTGATACTACCTGGTCGCCCAAACCTCTATAGATGAACCGGAGTTTGGACCTGTGAAACATTGGTTGGAAGTCAAGTGCCTAGGCCAATGAGTCATAGTCCCGCCAAAACTACGTCAGCACAACAAAATACAAGGCAGTAGCATGAAAGATAGAGGAATGGAGAGAAGCTTAACCAGTTACGAAGTGAGGAATAGAAGGGGGAACAAATAACGACTAGGTTGAAAACAGTGCATGTGTGCATCTATGCCAGTGAGATCGATTCTGAGCCATGTCACACAGTCTACCACCACCGGTTTCCGATGTGACACGGATTTCAGCCAGGAAGTCTATATTCGCTTACACAGCCTAGACCAAACGTCACACTTCATGGACTGATGCCACGTCTTAGTCTAATTTTAACAGCCTACACTGACTTAAGATAACATTGCGCGAAGGTGCCAATGGTGACTGAGCATAGGTAACACATATCCTAGGCACCTTGGTTGATGAAAATTCACAACCTCACTGACTTTTTTTTACCTAAAACTATACACCCAACTTCTGCATTACGTGGTGGTTTCACGACATACGTTCTATTCTACATAGGTAATGGTGGTCGAAGAGCTGACGTTCATTGCACTCAATTTTTGATGACGACGCCTCCCAACCACATAGTAGGACGGAAGAAACTGTTGCACAGTACCTTCAACTCAGTAGGCGTGCAAAGAACCCATAGACGGATCAAGTTGGCGAAAGCCAGTAGAGACATTGATGTACGTACCAAGAGTTCGTCGGTCATTGACCCACTAGGGCTGGTTCGAATTCCTAAGTAGAGTAATCAACGCTATTGTCAGACGAGGCACTGATACAAACTAGTTTTGAAGTAACAATTTTCACTGGAGATGTGAGAAAGGTATTCCAAACATTCATTACTTTCTACTCGACGTATCCAACGGACTTTGCTAGTTGTCATAGTCTTCACCCAAAACGATTATGTCATTTCGGCAGTGTAGGTTTATTAAGGAGTCTGTAGTGACAAGGTCAATACTTGTTAAGCCAGCCGAGGAGAAAGATAACTGACTACAGTTGTGCAAATAAAACTACATTTAATCTTGCTCTAAATCTTGATTACTTTATTTATGAATATATCTTACTTTGTTCCTGGCTATTATCTCTGCATACTTATTTCTTTCGCTTCTATAAATCCAACTATTCCCTCTGCTTTATTTCTTTTTGCTGATATCTCTTTGCTGTGTTCATGAAATATGGCAACTGACGGACATACAACTACATCAAGATAAACGTGTTAGCGCTAACCATAAACGACCTCGAATGTACATATCTCCGTGAGCTTAACGGTTATTCCATGTGATGTAATATGTTAACATTTAAACTAGTTAGAAGTGGGAATGCGGTTCAACGGTTTAGGTGCTTGATTTACAATCTATGGGTGGCTTGTCTGAACTCAGTTTCACCTGGGAAGGTTTGAGCAGCCAGGTATTATCGTAGGCCCTGATACAATAGGTATGGCCCACTGTCTACTTTACAGGTACGTACAAGGTTGCTGGGTGGATTTCGAATCTGAGGAAACAGCAAAAATGAAAAATACGACTGGGTATGAACTTGTCAAGCAAAATAATGAAGTCAGTGCAGGAAAAGGCGATTCCGTCGGGAAATATCAGTCACTCTGTAAGTAGCATGTGAAGTCACATGGAGTAAGTTTTATGGTGTTTTCGAAAGCTAGTCAGACATTTTCATCAGCTTATCTAAACACATTTCCCTACTTTAAAGTAAAATCTCGAGAAACGAGTGCCACACACTCAACACCATTTAGCCAATTCACTTTTCTTTACTGACAACTTGAAGTTTTACGTGAGTCATGTGCCTCTAAGAAATATATCTCCGGCGAAGTGTACTACAGTTATGAACCGTTTTCAAAACTCGTAATACAGTGGATTGAGCCTGAATTAGAAAAATGGTAATGAGGGATACGGCAAGATTTCTTAAGAATCAGTTAACATGCATTAAAGTAGAAGACGAAGAGACTTTAGAGAGATAAACATGGTGAAAATGAAATGAAACAAAGCAGCTATGAAGGAAGCACAATAATTAGGGATAATTAAAAAAGTGGCACACTCGTGGTGTGGTTTATTGGCTTGAGCAATGGAGTTTTAAGCAGTGAGTCCCGGGTTTAAGTTTCAACGCACTTATTTTAGTTCCATCAACTAAATAGTATCATAATCCTGCAAAGTGTATGGCTAACAGCCTAGTAAATAAACATCTGCAGTGGGTTGGATTGCACTCAAACATTTATGTAGTTTTGGGGGTGACCAATACTTCTCGACCTACGCTAGTGGGAAATAATTAAGTCGTGTCTAAAGCTAAAATTCATTTTGCAAATCTAGTATTTTTCACTTCCATAAAATTGTGAGGATATTTGTGTCCTTCTTCCGTGTCTAAGATGAGATGTAGAAAGTTTGTCAATCAAAGGCTGACATCAATTTGAAAATCAGTGGCGCTATTTAAATAAGCTAAATGGTCTGACCACATCTTTAGTAAAATAATCCAAACTAGTGTCAAAAACATTTGACTTGTATTTTTCTGTTTTAATTTTGATATTTTGACCTTCTATTTCCCTGACGATGCTCGGGTCAAATCCACGAGAATCAATGGATCGATTCTATTTCAAACACCCTGTTACCTATACAAATATTGACCTACATCTGAGCTCACGTCGTCTTAGAAATTGATTCATTATATTCGGTCACGCTTAGTCAGTGGCAGCCGGTCTTGCCAATTTTTGGCACGATTAACAACACGCTGAAAAGTTAACTCACTCGTAGAACATGGTATCCAGAGGTCCCACCGCCAGGAATTGGGGAACTAGTCGAACCACCCATGATAGGATTTGATTACGCGTAACTGTAACGTGTACTGAAAGGAAACCGCAACACCCGTTTACATTGAACACCTAACATGCTTTATTTCCTGAAAAGTTATATCAGAGAAGCAGTGGAATGGAAGCTCTCTGGGCTGCATCTCTGAGTATGGGGATTTTTTAACGTTGACAGGGTGCCTCTGATCCATCCATTTTTGTCCCTTTATCAGAATTGTCACACAGTGAAACAGTATCATTTACTGGATAAAGTTCTGGACATAATTTATTGTTTTTATTCATATCATTTGAAGGACCTCATGTGCCACAGAAAACCTGCTCCCTATCGACTCAAAGAAGTGTGTGATAATGATAGTTGACAACTATAAAAACTGCTCCAATCCTAACTCTCTGTGGGAAATAAATATCTGTCACTCAAACATGGAACAAGATTTGGAAATTGGTTTAAGCAACAATTAGCTTTAATGTACGGATACAAAAATTGCCAGGAATTTAAATGGACGTGAAAAAGTCACTTCCTCTTTAAAGTGCGATCATAAGAAACTCCTACTTTCGAAAAAGAAAAGGGTAACAGCCGGTAAAGTCTGGTCATCTTGACTGGAGTTTTCTGAGGGAATAGCCATGGATATTACACACGGAGAAAACTCTTTATCTTTGGCAGTGATTCGAAGAAGAATGCATCACTTCAGTGGTTGGTGCATCAGTATCTGCGAAGAAATATGGTTTCACAGTTTGTACAATCTGCATGCTGAACGCATGGAATGAAGTTCTGCTTGAGCCATACTGTCATCACCTCTGTGATGATGTCTTCTGGGACATTATTTGAGGCTGCATCTTTCGGGTGATCTTTTCGAAAGATTGGGACTATGAGTCATACGATACCTCGTTCATCCCAGTACTTAAATTTGTTTTAGCACGCCATCTGTAGACAGAGCGAATTTACTGAATGTCCACGTGCTTTCAGCCTTATTTACGCTCAACATTTCGCACTCCATGTACCCTTACCGAGCATGCAATTCATATTAACCAAAGGGTGCTAAAGCCCAACCATCATTTCAGGGCGCTGCACAAACTGGGTGATTATGCTCCCATTACTTTCCCTCTTCTTTTGCGGCGAAACAGTTTTTATTGGACATTTATGAACGGCAATATCCAAACAATCGCATACCCTGGTAGACTATAAATAGCGTGATAGTTTATGCCCTCTGTATTTTCTCACCCTCCCCGAGAACAATAATATTCTGGTACTGCCTGTGAAATGACATGTGTCTGTGCAGTTCACCATTTGGAGTACATCGTTATTGTTATGATCATATCTCCTGAATTTCTCTGTTCTGTACGGAGTGCAGCGGCATATTATTTGGTTAGATTGGACGCGGTTTAGCGTTGAGTGCCTAAAGTTGCATCAGCAGCACCTCTTTGAAATCATCTGAGGGAGGTTTTCACTCCATACCGTTTGTGTAGATCAGTTCAAGATATCTCGTGCCTTCCATGTAACAAAAATTGCCGCTCTTAAGTAGTTTTTAGTTCCCCTATATAAGCTGTAGTGATGTGATGTGATGCGATTTCAACTTTTTGCCGAACCGTCCCAACATTAAATAAATAAATAATAAATATCCTCATTCTCAAGTTATGAAGTTAACATGAGAGAAGCCAGTTTACAGGCCTCGTCAAATTGATAACTGCAGAGAAACATAAAAGGTTTTAGCAGTATTGAATGATACAGAGGGAGGACATTAGACTCTCATGATACCAAGTGTCTAATATCACTTTACAGTACATACACATCGTTCTGAGTTTAAGTCATTTCTGCTCACAACTCTTTCTTCGCATCAAACGGCGCAATATCTGGTGCTTGCGTTGTGAGCAGTCGACATGACTGACCCATCTACAAGACCAAGTGTTTCGTCAGATAAACGGCTATTTTGACAGTAATTCTTATGTTCTTAGATTTACTGACCAACAATAACTTACTTCAATCATTTCAAGAATAAGTAAGTATCCATACAATCATTTAATCCACATGAATGTCCAGGTTCAGGCTTTTCTCACTCTTCAAGTGTTACCTTTTCCAGCGATTCAGATTGGTAGTACCGAAAACATTTGTTATGGTGCGAGCAATTAAGGACTGGAAGCATCTTCTTTCGACAGTGGTGAATATTACACATGTGTAAAACCTCATAGACTTCACACTAAAGTATGCAACATTGTCAAGGAGATACACTGGCTGTCAATTGACCTCTATTAGGTGGATTGATACAGGGCAAAGCACTAGAGAAATTTGTTGCATAGCATAATTATGGGTGTGTTGCCGTTAAGCAAAGTGATCTGTCGAGTTTGATTGTTTATCCAGATTTCCGCTGCATTTGTCACGGACGAGAAATCTAAGGCCAGTTATTGTGCTTGGGGTCTCGTATGTGGTAGCATTTAGGGTACTGGTAGGGAGGTGAGTCAGTTGTTAAGCTGTTCAAGAAACAGGAAAATCGGAGCGAGTCATTTGGACACCTCTGACATCAGCTCCCAGTATTAGGTGCGAAGTAGGACTTCCGGTAAGTTGATACTTTTTGATCGAACTAACCTTGGGACTTTCTCGTCAGGCTGACACTGAAAAGAGAAGAGAAAAGAAAGCGCATTCGAATACTGATCGGACGATTTAGAAATTCAGTGACCGGGATTCAGCTGGAGAGGATCAAAAGCTAAAAACAGTGTCTGGGAAACAGTAGACTGCTGAGATAAAAGGCCGTTTACATAGAACGTTGATGCAGAAAAGTTTTCAGATGGAACTGAAAAAGCTGAGGGAGGCAAAAGGCGTGCTAGAGTGTGAAAATCTAGCGTAAGTAGACTATATGTTCCCTCAGCCCCTAGCGAAAAGTTTAACTGAACCGCTGGTAAAAGCTTTTCCCAAAACCTTACGTGAAAATCGTTTTCCTGGAGGGTGTGAAGTTTCTCATAGTCGATCACTTTACTCCAGTTCCCTCAAGCTTACTGGTGAAAATTGGTTGGTTCATCAATTTTTCCTAGCTATAGCGCTGATCTGTCCCATTCCTGGACACCTGACAGGGGTGTACATTTCATATAACGGGCTGCTGTACTGAGGTCACAAGGAACTCTGCAAACCCGTCAGAGCACGTCGGATAGCTCACTAAACATAAAGAGCCAGAATTGTAGTTCTTACAGATCGGGGAGTCATTTCCCGCTACAACTTATTCCCAGTTCGTTTGACTCCTGTCCCCACCTCATACACCCGAATAGTTCATTGCGTTACCGTGTACTCGCTGGAATTTCGTGTAGGCAGTCTTCAGTCATGACATGATAGCTCTTACCTCTAAAGAAGTTAAGGCTGCTCATTTTGGATGCTAAATATACAATTATGTCGTCTCTATCAAGTGCGAAATTTAAGGCAATTTTTAATTCCTAGAAGTTCTGAGTTCCGAAATCACTTTACCGTACCACAGCCTGGTTTTAAGACTCGAATTTTACGGTAAATCATCGTGAAAACGAACAGTTACTGATTAGCACATCGCTTGTGGGTCCTAGCAGCGGGCCACAAGCATGAAAATATTGCACTGATGTATTGATTCAGTTAAAGTCCAGGGCATTTGAAATCGCCCGGGTAGTTGAACTTGTGGCTGCAGGAAAAGTTGTGGTTGTCCAAACAGTAATGACAAATGGTTCATTCAGGAATTTACATATGCGTGCTGACTCTACAGATTTGGTTACGACATTAAATAAGCAAAGTCTTAAAATGACTACGTGCACCATCCTCAGTCATCCGCAGGAAGTGATGTAATTAGGGTCAAATAAAAGACAAATGCGCGTCGAGAAGACGGCTCACAGAAGTTACTTGTTGGTAATGTGATATCACTTGGGGGGAAAAGAGTTCCGTTAAATACTTTTGGAAGAGCAAAACGTGAATTTAAGTTGGCGAAAATAAATGCGAACTCAAATCCAAAGAAAACAGAGGTTGGCCAAACCGAAGCACGCCTGGGAGAGGTATTACCGTTCTCATTTCAAGATGTCAGCTTCTTGAAAGGAACATCAGAATCGGGCATTTAAAAGTGAGAATTATTTAGCTACTAAAGCGACATGCATCGATGCATTAAGATTTGTGTTACAACCAATACTAAATCAAAAAACTTCCCGATTATTTTGCTCCCGTTCGCCTACATAAAATCGCTATACAGTAAATTTTTTTCACCATCGCAGTAATTTGTATTTGGGGTGCGGTGCGAGTTACGAAAGATGATTGTCAAATTCCGTTCAATTCCCGGGTAAATTTGCAGATTCGTCAGCAATGAATTAGGATACAGACAACATTCTATATTTCTGTATCGAGCCAAAGTTGGAAACATGGTACCACCGGACATTGGAGGGAAGGATATCTTGGTACATTCTATCTCATATTCTTTCCTCACCAGATAGGCTAAGCACCCTATATCACCTTAATTTTTAGCTCATATTCAAACTTCCGGTGCCCGAAACTGCCATATGATGACTAAGATATATTTGCGAAGCGCGAGGAATAAGCGATCAATAGAAGCACCTGTTACCCGCTTGGCGATTAGAAAGTCTCGACTTGAAAACACTCCGGTGACTGGGATGTGCCTGGCTACCTTACGCAAACTCGCCCTCACACCGCATCACTCGACAACCCTGCCTGACTGATTGCATGGCAGTCAGGCCCCTATTTCTTTCCATTTTCACTAAGCTGAGGCTTGTAAAGTAAGAAGTTGGCGCACAGAGCCAACCAGGGTAACGCGCCCCCCCAAATCCCTGCAAGACCCTTAAGATTACGACTAACTGCCACTTCTCACCACCGGCCGCTGTCAGCCTTGATTCGCGTGTTCTCAGGCGGTGCATTACATGACCGTCTGATCTGCATCCACAATTTTCTGCGAGTGACTGCAAAGGTAACTCAGCCAATGTGTAGGGGGGCCTTTAAACCCCAATACATTCTGCGATTTGTTAGCAAAGCCGGTGCTTTTTGCATAGCCAAGATATGGT